CTAGGAAATCATCTCAACTACTTTAAAAAAGGAAGTTAGACCTACTCAAAGTAAATTAAAACCAACAAACCTGGATCATTCCGAACAATCCTACCTATATAAACTAAAACAAATCAAAGCAAAAATAAGACATAATCACTTCAAATAACCACAACCAAGCTTATTACTACTCTAAAATGACTAACTTAGACAATCCCAACATATTTAGAGAAAGTAGAAAATGAACTCAACTCTTTTAAAAGATTAAAACATAGCTATTAAAATAAAAAATAAAAGCAAATAAACTAGGATCAATCCAAACAATTCCGTTAAACAAATTAAACAAATGAAASCAAAAATTTACACAGTTCCTTCAACCAATAAGAAAGAAGCATATTACAAGTCTAAGCTTATTATTCTAACTTAAACGAACCCATTAAATGTACATAAACTAAATCAACTCACTCAGAATTATAACTGGCAATAAAAGCCGTACAAGCAGATTCAAACTAATCCCCATTGGCCGCATAAAATTCCTTTTTTCAAACAACCATATAAAGAGGTTTCATTATTCAAATCCATAATTATTTAAACCACTTATAATCACTCAAACCCAAGGGTTCTCCAAAATCAAAGTTATTAAATTATCAGTATATAAACTATAATGATTCCCAAAATCTTAAAAGACTAATCCCAATCGAATCCATCACAACAGAGCCCAAACGAAACCGAACATGGCCAATACAAATTCGAACCAACAAAACGACACAATGTCAGTCCAATCAAGGAAACCAAGACATTGCCACATCAAAACCCTCGAAGCAATACATAGCTAAAATCATTCCAAAATTCCCATGGTTGTCTCTACCGATTTACCTATCAAGACAGATAAATCAAACTCAACAATACTTTAACTAGATGCTAATAATTTTAGATTACTCACTTTCAACGAAAACTCTCTAGATACAAATGAATCCAAGCCAGCATAGGTTAATGAATCTGGTACACATCTGATATAGCTAGGGTTAGTTTAGGGCAATCTTCAAACTCCCATGAAACTAAGTCTAGCCAAACCTAGATAGAACCAACTACTCCATATCCAAAACTATCCAAGCCATCCAATCGACCACTAGTCAAATCCTGAACCACTAGCCGACCTTAAAAGAAAACTAAACCCTATATTCTAATTTAAACGAAACTATCTTGCCCACAAAAAACTTGGAAATGTACTATCAGCACATTAGTGTTAGTTTTGGCAGGATAAATCTCTCCAGATCTATCCAACGACTGTGAAGATTTTAAACTAACACGCGTCTCATAAGTGTCCAATTTAAGGGTACTACACAAAAACACACCAATATAACATGAATCAAATATGTACTTTATAAATTTACAATAAATGTCAAAAGGTACATCAATCTGATTGAAGCTATGGGCATACACTGTCTAATAGCTCTTACTTGCACTTAGGTCCAATCGGGTAAAAGCTGGAGTTCCATGTGTTAGTGGCTTAGTTAATGAGTCTACTACGTTTTCCGCTGATGCTACCTTATGAAACTGGTTGTTCCCTCTACCAATAATCTCCCACAATATGTGGTGATTCCTCTCGATGTGCTTCGACTTCGAGTGGGCTCGTGGCTCCTTAGCTTGAGCAATGGTTCTAGTGTTGTCACACAATAGTGGAATGGGTGATGTGATGGATAGAACTGAAGGGATGAGATATTCATCATATGGATGGCCGAACCCTATAGGTAGGTTGGGCGAAATTTAAAAAATTTCTCTCTCTCCCATGTGGGAATCACATTCCCTATTTCTGAAAATTGCATTTTTAAGGATCAATCTTGAACCTAAACCAAAGCAGATCTGAAACCAAAACGGAGTGAAGGGTTATACCTGATACGAAGTAACAATAACCTCCAATGAAGGTGTTCACGCCCAAGGAAAAACCCAAAGACTGCTCCCACCGAAGATGACACGGTGCAAGATGAAGAAGAATCAGCAGGGTGGCTCTTCAGCAAGAATCTGATCGAGGGATAGTGAGCACGACTTCTGATTACCTTTTCTGCCAAAAGGTAATATTAGGAACCCTTCTTGATCGCTCCCATAGTGGAGATTGAACTGGTATGGCGGCAATAGCAAGAGAGAGTAAGAGCAAAAGACAAAAGCAGTCAAACTGTAGGTTGTCCTCTCTCTTAAATCAGTAGACTAATGGATGAACTAGAGGTTTGCCCTGCTCCTCTATCTATATAGCCTTAAAGAGAGGTTCTCCTAACATAAATTGGATCAAGTTTAAGGGTATTACACAGAAACATACCAATATAACATGAATCAAATATGTACTTTATTCATTTACAATAAATGTCAAAAGGTACATCAATCTTATTGGAGCTAATGGCATACATTGTCTAACAATACCTTCACTGTAGTCAACATTCCTAAATCCATTCTCAATGAGCAGAATGTCATCTTCATAGAGAATCATAAATGAAATCTTATCTCCCACTGTCCTTTTGTAAACACAAGGTTCATCTGGATTTTGCTTAAAATCAAATTGTTTGACTATTGAGTCAAATTGGATGTTCCAACTTCTGGAAGCATGGTTACATGCGAAAAGTTCTTCTTATAATCAACTCCTTCTTTCTAAGTGTAATCTTTTGCGACAAACTAAGCTTTATAGGTCTCAACTTTTTCATCAGGGTCCTTCTTCCTCTTGTTGATCTACTTGCAACCGATTGATTGCACCCCAAGGGGTGGGTCTATGAGAGTCCATACTCTATTGGTTTTCATCGAGTCCATCTCAACTTTCTTAGCATCTACCCAGTTTAGAGAGTCTATGTCCAACATAGTTTCTGTATAAGTCACGATATCTTCCTCACTATTCGTAGCTTCGATCAAGTAACATTCTTGATCATAGTCATAATGTACTCAAGGTCTAAAAACCCGGGTAGATCTTCTAAGCTAGATATTATTATTTAGAATCTATGGGTTATCTCCCACTATTCCTAAGCTCTCTTCATCAAGAACAATTTCCTTATGATGATTGTTTAGGATGCAGTCCTCCTCCAAGAAGTAGGCATTTCGACTAACAAACACTTTTTGTTCTTATGGGTCATAGAAGAGATACCCTACGGAGTCCTTGGGGTAGCTTACAAATAGGAAAAAATTGGTTTTGGGTTTCAATTTGTCCACAGTTGTGTTTTTGACGTGTACTGGACAATCCCATAGTTTTAAGTGTCTTAAACTTGGTTTTCTGTTGGTCCATAGCTCGTAAGGAGTCTTGGAACTGACTTGGTTGGAACCAGATTTAGCACATAAATTGTAGTCTCAAATGCATGCCCCCAAAAGGATATGAATAACTCTAAATGGACGAAGAGTGATCGGACCATATCTAATAGAGTCTGATTTATTTTTTTTGACACACCATTTAATTGTGGTGTAACATGAGGAGACAACTATGATATAATCCCATTGTCTTTTAATTAGTCAATGAATTCATCAAAGAAATATTCACCTCCTCGATCTGATCAAATGGCTTTGATCTGTCTCCCCAATTGTTTCTCAGCTTTTTGTCTAAAGTCCTAATCAAAATCTGATTTGGATCAACTCCTAATTAGATTAAGAGAGTTCTCTACATAACGGACTAAGAGGGGAGGGATGATCAACTCAGTTCTCTCCATTCTCTTACTCTCTTCTCTTCTCCCTTACTTCCAAGAAACCCTAATCCAACTTATCTATGTTAAAGGCTGATTTCCATTAGTTTTCTATTGTGTTTTTGGAAAAAAATATAAGAGGATACCAGGTTCACATAGCTACATCGATCCAAAAATGTTGGGAACCAGTTTTGTTGGAATGGTGTTGCTGAATTGTCTTTGCACACACAAACAATGCCATCTTCAGTTGGAGGCCGATTTTGACTCTAATATTAGGTGTGAACTATCACTTTAGGAGTTACAAACTGTAGTCTTTGTATCAAATATAATTAGTTTTAATTTGGCTTTCAAATATGTCCGGTTCAATGTAAGATCAATTCCAAAATCACCAGGAAATTAGTTCCCAGATTGGGTTAGAAAAACTTTAAAAATTTGGTCAACCACCAGACATGATTCAACCATATCTAATTTGATTTTTAACCCTTTCAATAGTGTCATCATAGTGCAAAGAATCACTACATTGGTGTATTAAATCATAGGGGTGCTAACATGTAAAGCTCAGTTAGTTCTTGTGCTATGGCGATGGTCCACTATGTCTCACTACAGGAGCACAAGTTTGTTGTAGTTTGACTACTGAGTGAGACTACATTATAGAGCTTTTCATCATAGTATTAATCAGTTAGTTATTCTTCAGCACAATTTACTTGCTTAGTATGGAGATTTGGGCTTTGACCACTTACTTGAGTGTGTGTAGCTCAATCTCCATAGGGTCTAAATACATGTACTTCCACTGTCAAATGTACCAGTTTTTGAACAACCTCTTTGCACCTAGGACTTTCACAGTTTGACGGACGATTTGGAGCCATCACACTTTGTTAACATCCGAACTAAAAAACTTTGCATCAAAGTGATGGGCTTCTCCAAGTCCAATCAACCTGACGACATGCATTACTTCCCTCACCCGATGTTGACCTGAAGCCCACCAACCTAGTCTCACGCCACCTTAGTCTCGGAAGTGGGGAGAGGGATATGTGATACAGCCAAATATTTCATCCCACCACTTAGTTACATGTGGCAACCTCAGAGGGCACTTGCATCTTTTTGTAGATCTTAGTGGGAAATCGTAGGATTTCACTTCAAGGCTTGATTGCGAGCTCCTCTTTGACCGTTACAACCTCGGCTGAATGCTTAAGTTCGTTAAGTGCTAGAGAAACACTTAGCCACATGGTCTGCCTCCTACATGAAATGAGCAACAATGTGGACAAACGTGAGGAGCCATTAACAAACCTCGACAATTCTGTAGTGAGCCAATAAGTAGCCCAAGGAACACGAGATATTTCATTTTATGCTACATTCAGTGACAACAGCCAATCAGCCAAAAACATGATAACTCTATTTCTTATACAAGACATTAAAGTCCGAAATTCAGTGACTCCTTTTATTAAGATTACCAAAAAATACATACTAGTCCTTTTATTAATTGGAAAATAATTCAGAATCAGAGACGTTCAACATTTCAACTATAAGGAAAGATGAAAACAACTTTGCACGAAGTTGCCATGGACACATCTTCTAGTTAACGACAGTGCAATCACGGCGGATTTCACCCTGCCTTCCAGTTTTCACTCCAACCCGTCCGAGCTTGGTAATGCCAGTAACAAAAGCCTCATAGAATGCCGTGGTGTTTGATGCAAACAGGTTGACAGTATCCTTTGATCTTGGATCCGTAAACAAGACCTGATCAGAAGCGAGCAACCCCATTCCTTTCTGAAGGTTCTTGAAGTAGGCATTATCAAAAACCTGAGGCGAGGTGGGGTCCAATTGAATGGCAACATCGGGGTTCACATTTAGTGGGCACATCTGCCTAAGCTGCAAAGCATAAGCTGGGTTAAGCGTAGGGTCAATTCGTTTGGTGGGGCTGAATTTGTATATCCTTCTAGAGAACTTGCCGCAGTGAGAGAACCCAATCGTGTGCCCACCTAAAATAACTCACTTTTGTTAGAAACACAAGCATGAAACAGTATTGAGACTGAATGAAGATTGTCTTTGTCTTTAATTACCAGAAAGTGAGATCATATCTGTCTGCGTGAGACCATGTGAGCTAAACATGGTGTTAAGCTGGTCTAAATTGAAACCAGGCTGAGGAAGACTATGTTGAACACTGGCTATGGTGGAGATCCTCCCATCAAGTCTTCCCAATTCAACCGGATAACGTGGGCCACCAGTCTGCATTAATACAAATCAATACCCACATTATAAGGTAAGACGAAAACATGTTTCTGATCATTATAACAAGAGAGAGAGATTTAGGGGGCGTTATTTTTTCCGATTTTGAGAGAGGGGAAAGTTGGTAATGGGATTTTGGTTTCCATTGATCAAGAATCTCATATTTTTTTTTTCAGATTTATGTGGGGATCAAGAAAGTTTATTTTCCTTTGTACCTATCTCTTAAGTGGGTAAATAACTTTTCCACCTAGGGGGAAGTTGCCAACACTTGAATGGGACAAAAATACCCTTTTTAATTATGGATTTTTATGGATAAAATGGTTATTGCCTTATTTACATGAGATATAAAAGAACATGGATAAATACACTTACTCGGGTAAGTGTTTCCCTGGAAAAACTTACCCAGGTAACTGCATTTACCCGGGTAAATAACTTACGACAGGCCTAAGAGAAATAAAAATAGACAAATTGAAATTGTAGCATTATTGTAACTAAAATGTAATCTAATTAAGAAAGTAAGCTTGTTTACCAAGGCTACAACTTCTCTAGCGGCCAAGGCCAATATATCAGCACATGAAACCTTGAATCTGCACCGAGGATCCAGATCAACAGCAGCTTTTGCTTTGACAACGGTGTCAAATCCATCCCCAGCAAGCGAAAGGTCATCTGGGTGATCCTTCTCAGCCTTGTTATTTGGCGATGCTAGAAGCACTGAAGCATCACAACCCTAACAACCAGAGAATAAGGTTGGTTACATGTTCACTGTAAAATAGTTAAAAAAGAATGAACAAGTGGATCGAAACAACGTACCCGAACGAAACAATCATGGAAGTAGAGTCTTAAAGTGGCTGGGGCAGTCACAAAAGTTTGTTGGAACTTCTGTGCAACTGCATCGCGGACATACTGTTCAACATTTGGGCAGATGTTTTTGTAGTAATCTGTCCGAAGTTGAGCAGAAGCTGTTGATACGAGACTGAGAACAACGGAGAGTACAAAGAGATTTCGATACCTCATCTCCATTGCTTCTATTGATATGATAACGTCGTTGTAGTGGATGAAGCTTTATATAGGTGAAGATGGAGAATAAGAACTTCGTATTGCTTATCTGTCATGAATCATAGAAGAGAGAGAGAGAGAGAGGAAACGTTGTGGGTTGACAGAATGTGTCAAGCACAATTTAGCCATAAACAATGAATACTTGCGTTTGGGATTGAGGTTGAAACAAGCGGTTTCTGAAAAGGAATATTCTTGAACTGCAACAAATTTTATATTGCATTTACTGCATTGGAAAAACGAGAGAAGAACAAACTTTGTGGGTAGATAGCAAGTAAATAGTTCTTATTTCCCAGACTTACCGCACTCAGAATAGATGTGGTGAAGAGTTTCTTCTCTTCCTTGTTCTGAATTCTTCTATTCTTTCTTGGGGAGAATGAAAAGTTGTTTAATATAGGCTATAGAAGAAAATTTATCATCAAATCATCAATCAATATTTTATATTTTTCTTTAATCTTCTATTGGCCATATCATTTTTTTATTTATAATCGTATGTCTGTGAGCATGTTATCCTTTCGATTCCTCTAGACCAAAACTCAATATTTTAACGGCACCCAAAAGTCAAATCTCAGTAGACAAAGTATAAGATCACCCCAGTTATCTTCAGCAAAGGGAGATATCTTTAATATTAGACTGTATTCAAGAGAACAAAATCATGTGCCCATTTCACTGGCCATAATTTTTCCAACAAGGCAAACTGCAACAATCTATAATTTACAAACAATAGATTAATGGGTAATGTAATAAATAGCCGACGATTAATGCTTTGTTGCTTGTTAAGCTTAAACTCCACAGACCTCGATTAAGATATGAGGAATTGATCGATATATTTTTCAGTACAATGTAGATTCCAAACAAAACGGGTCTCATGGAGAGGTTCCGCAATGAACCCACTCCACTAGACACATTACTTACAGGAGACGTTTGTATTCAATGGTTACAAGGAAAAACGATTGTGGTCATGCTTCCAAACCCAAATCATATACAAAATTGAAACTGACCCGAGTTGTTGAACTTGAACCCCCAATCCAATGACATGGAATTGGGCTCCTAGGGCTGTAACTGTGGCAGTATCCGTTTTGTCCAAATTTGAGTCCAGTAAGCTAGGGTAATTTGAATCCCATCTGTTTATAATTGAATTGAATATGAATCCCCCTATATCTAATCTGATAAATTTTAATTCGAATCTTTTTAAATATATGCTCATATATATTCAAAACTTACATTGTCTATTTTACTGGTTTCAATAATGTTGTGTTTTTCCTAAATTGTCATAGGCTTAAGTTTCATACAGTTATCTTTTATTCAGAATTTTAATAATTGGTTTAATTATGATAGGGAAAGATATAATATCCAAAAAACTTTTGACCAATCAACTGATACCATAAATGTGATAGCTAATCAGGTTTTATTTATCAAAATTCATGGTTGTCAAAACTCTTCTGATACCATGTCTTTCCTGCATCATGGATTTTCCCTATTAATAATATATGATTTTTTTATCATTTTTGTTTAATTTACTAACACTATTCAATATCCAATTGCAATCCAAATTCATTTCAAATCTGATATAAATCCTATACTATTCAGGCTGCATTTGGAAATGATGCAAATGGAGTGTAAATCCAGTTCAAGGTAATTTTGCACTCTGGTTCGCTTTTCCTATTTTTGGCAACATTACATTTATGCATTGACAAATGACAGACTAATGCATAATAAGATATAAAATTACATCAATAAAAAAGAAGTAAATTTGAATTCAAGTGGGCTTTTGATAAAAAAAAAAAAGCATATGCATTATTGGAATTAATGTTTTCATCCAGTACAGCTAAAAGCCTGTTTTGGTAAAAAGGTAAATTTGTGAGTACAAAACTAACCCAATTTTGCAGGGAATGATGCAAATAAGTGTGAATGCAAATATGTAGAGTGTAAAACGGTTAATATAAATTACAAAATTGGGTTAGTTTTGCACTGACAAATTTACCTTCTTACCAAACAGACTTTTAGCTGTAATGGATGCAAACATGAATTCGAATAAAGAATATGCTTTTTTTATCACAAGCCCACTTGAATGCAAATTTACTTCTTTTTATTGATGTACTTTTACATCTTATTATCAATATAAATATGCATTGGTCTGTCATTTGTCAATGCATAAATGTAATGTTGCCAAACACATACAAAAGTGAACCAAAATGCAAATTTACCTTGAATTGGAATTTACATTCCATTTGCATCATTTCTAAATGCAGCCTTATATGAACCGTTTTACACTCTACATATCTGCATTCACACTTATTTGCATCGTTTCCAAACGCAACCTCAAAATCAAATACAAACAAATCAAACTTGCATCTACCAATATCCTCTTCAATTAATTTGATTCGTTTACAACAGTACTCCGGTTGGCCAATTTTCTTCACCTATGATTAAAAAGAATAAAAATCCTAATTCTCCTGCTTAAGATTTGTTGATCAAAACTAACTGCTAGCTTTGGAAATAGTATACATAAAGGGATGAAAGGTATGGGGAACTGTTAATAGCTTATATAGACAGTCTAATTTGTCTTAGAATTGTAGGCCGACTAATAACTGGCAAATTTTAACTAGATCCAAAAATTTCAAACATTAAAAAGAGCTTAATGGGTTTGACACAAGATCCTAAGAGATAAGATACTGAGATGGCTTCATGGAAGGCACTAGCCACATAGACATCCACAAGTTGCAAGTGTATATATAAAGAAAACTACTCAGTTGCAATCACATCAATGCAGCACCTACAAGGTAGCCATTGGCTGTGAGGTCTGACTAGCAGAACAACCTATCTACCCTATTAGCCACGTACACACAAGTTAGTGTAAATTACTAGTGAATGATCCAACATCCTTCTTAATTATATACAATAGGGCTCAGAGTTGGGGCTGCAAAACTGGCAGTATCCGTTTATTGAATATTATAATTAGATTGTATAATATATTTTTATAATATATGCATGCACTTTAAATTAAATGATTAATGTATATGCATTAAATTTATGTTAATTGTATAATGACAAAATGCCCAAGCTACATATACTCAGTAATCCAACTCTCATAAATATTTAAATTACAAAAGGACAAAATATAAAAAGAGGATTTGCACAATTGTCAACAGTACTCAATAGATCGACCTCCTAAGTCTGTGTTTGTTTACAAGGCAAGTCTGAACCGGATACAAATTCTGCATCCGGTTCAGTTTTGCATCTGTTTAGTTATTTATTTATTTTTCTTTTCTTTTTTTTTTTTTGGAAGAGTGCATCGGTTTATTCATCACTATGATTTGTAATCTTATAACTGGTGTAAAGTTTGCACTTTTTGTCTCCTTTGCATCCATTGGCAGTATAAACAAATTTGCACGACACCTTCATACAGCAGCCTTATTTCTCTTTCATTTAACTTGGCGACCTCATAAATTAGTTCCCATTTTACTTCTTATAAACAAACAAATCAAGGTCAAATATGAAGCAAATGTAAACCAGAATTTAGAGTCCATTTGCACTCCTATGCATTCACACTAGTACAAATGAAATTCAAACTAAAACTAAACATAGTCCATATAATCCACAAAAGAACAAGACATTTGGGGTGAGCATGGATATATAGATTCTACTAGAAACTGAATGGAACCAACCTTAAATAGGCCTTAAATGAATCTATCCAATTTGTTACAGGGTAGGGTCTAGGTCCAAATTTTTTGAATTGACCTTCACCTAGCTTGGTTCACACAGGAGGGAGTAATGCACGATGTGTAACCATCCCATATATCGTGGTCACATAAGGGAACTTGGAGAGGCGTCGGCCGTGTTAGATAGTGTATGCCCTTAGGAGACTCGTGTTAGTTTAGAATGTTTTCAGCCGTTGAATAGACTTGAGGAGTTTATCCTGTCAAGACTGGCACTAATGCGCTACCAAAGAAGTTGAGGTACCTTGTCTCAATTGCTAGGGTTGGACCCAAAGCACATGTAGTGTGTGTTTGTTTGAAGCACTCAACCTTGACCACTTTCCAATTATGCCTTAGACATTGGAGTCTGATGGGCAAAAGTGGAAAGTTACACCTAGCCCCTGGACTTGATCGGGTTGTCTATGCCAATCAGTGAGCTCCTTTGGAGGTCAAAACCTAGGTATGTTGTGCCAGTTTGAGAATTCACTTGAGTGGGTGATCATAGTTATAGCATCAGCCCCTTTGTCGAATAAAGTGAATGATCGGGACTGCACTCTCTCTGATGGAAACCAAAACAGCCAACTATCGTTTTCAACCGTGTTTGAGATTTGTTTTGTATATATATATATATATATATATATATATATGTTTCAAGAAAAAGGGTTTGCAAAAAGTTTTAATTCCTAGGACCATCTGAGCAGAGAGTGCAACACTGCACGTTGTAGTCAAGGAAGAGGTCCTTCCCTGTCGGGCAGTGTTTCATCATTATGGGTTGAGAGGTCAAGTGTAAGAGACCATTAAGGGTTGTTTACTTGATGGGCTATATCTTACTTAAGTCCATTATCCTATAATAGGATGGCTAGACTTAGGATCATTTAATTGTAAATGTTGGGCCCATTAAGAGATCATACTGATAGACTCAGGGGTTCACTGCATTTGGTAGTAAATTCGGCCAAGCTTTTTCTCAGAGGCTGGGCCGAACCCATATTGGTTTATGTAAGGTCATTGTTGGGGTGTCACGCCATATAAATTGAACCTAAATGAGCCAATAACTACCTTGGAATGTGAGTCATATGCTTAATGGGCCTAAAGCCCATGATTAATGAGATTAATCAAGTTGTCACATGACTGCTTAAGATGTCATGTGACTTAGGCGAATATGGGTTTGGAGCACCGATTCTCATAAGAGGATAAGACCTATCTTAAGATAGAGTCCAGATCCAAATAAAGATTTGGATTACAAACCTCCTAATTCGATTAGGAGAGGTGTTCCTTAA